TTCAGTTCAAGTCGGACATATGTCACTCCCTTAGTTCAGTTTTTGGTAGAGTCTCTGTGGAAGGAGTCTTGAAGCTCAATGTAGTGTTCAGTTCAGGTCGGACATATGTCACTCCCTTAGTTCGGTTTTTGGTAGTGAAGATGGCGTCATCTTTCAACATCATCATCGAAAGACCAACTCTAACTGAAATTCGTGCTATTGTCTCACAGTCCCACCTCTGCATGAAATTCCTTACCCCCATGGGAGTAGTGACTCTAAAAGGCAACCAAGAGGTGGCTCAGCATTGTTACATGACTTCAATCGCCCGACCTCAAAAGGATAAGCAAGTAACACCTCTAGAATCTACACAGCCTGAAGTCCCAGCTACATAGCAGGTAATGGGTGTAGAGTTGCCGGATAACAAACTTGAGGATGATGCTAGAGCCACCCCGGCGAAAGAGGTAGAAGAGGTGCAGCTTGACGATAGTGACCCCACTAAGAAGACGTAGATTGGGACCAAGCTGAACTCGAAAGAAAGGCGAGAGCTCATTAGCTTTCTAAAGTTGAACAGTGATGTATTTGCATGGACCTTGGCTGATATGCCCGGGATACCCACCTCAATCGCAATACATAAATTAAGCACTCATCTTTTGAAGAAGCTCGTAGCACAAAAGAGACACCTGTTTGGAGGAGAGAGACTAGAAGCAATCAGAGCAAAAGTGCAGAAGCTCTTATAGGTAGGATTTATAAAAAGGGTAGACTACTGTAAATGGGTTGCTAACCTTGTTTTAGTTAAGAAGTCGAATGGCAAGTGGAGAATGTGCATTGATTACACAAATCTAAATGAAGCTTACTCGAGGGACTGCCATCCTTTGCCGAGCATAGACAAGCTGGTGGAAGCTACATCCGGAAATGAAAGGCTTAGTCTTTTAGATGCTTACTCGGGATATCATCAAGTCCACATGGCACCCGAGGACGAGGTGAAGACCTCTTTCTATGTAGGTGACGAGATCTACTGTTATGTAATGATGTCGTTTGGGCTTAAGAATGCAGGGGCTACATACTAGAAAATGGTGACAATTGTATTCTGAGCTTAGATCGGCAGGAACTTGGAAGTCTATGTTGATGACATAGTAGTTAAAAGCCTAAAGGCAGAGGATCACCTAACCGACCTAGCAGAAACATTTAACAATCTAAGAAGACACAAGATGAGGTTGAATCTCGCCAAGTGTGTCTTTGATGTTGAATTTGGAAAATTCTTGGGATTCATTGTCTTTGGGAGGGGGATAGAGGTTAATCCTAAGAAGATCAAGGCAATAGAAGAGATGAAGCCACCAAGGTCAATCAAAGATCTGCAACGATTAGTTGGGAGAGTAGGAGCTCTACACAGGTTCATATCAAAGTCGGCAGATAAATGTCTACCTTTCTTCAAAGTCCTGAGATCTATAGCCTAGAAAGACGAAGCGGGGAAGCCTAAGAAGTTTGAATGGACCTCAGAATGTCAAATCGCCTTCGATGAACTTAAGTCGTACCTCAGTTCACTACCTCTGTTGACTAAGACCGAAGAAGGTGAGATCCTTTACCTCTACCTCGGGATATCTGATGTAGCAATAAGCTCGATCCTAGTCAAAGAAGTAGGGAAATAGTACAAGCCAATATACTATATCAGCAAGGTGCTATAAGGAGCTGAGCTGAGGTACTCCATTGTAGAAAAAGCAGCCTTGGCAGTTGTCACCAAGGGAAGGAAGCTGAGGCCGTACTTCCAAGCCCACCCCATTATTGTACTAACTGATCAACCTATAAGACAGATTCTACAAAGGCCGGAGTGCTCCGGCAGACTTATTAAGTGGGCAGTGGAGTTAGGGGAATTTCATATCACTTTCCAGCAGAGGTCGTCAATCCAAGCTCAAGCCCTGGTAGACTTTGTTGTAGAATGCACACCAAGTCACGACAGTGGCAATTCTGAGGCTGAATTATGGACCCTTTATGTTGACGGATCATCAAGCAAAAAAGGATCAGGTGCCAGAGCAGTGTTAATGGGGTCAGACAACTTCCGAAGTGAGCATGCCCTGAAATTCAATTTCGAAGCAACAAATAACATGGCCGAGTATGAAGCACTTCTCCTCGAACTTCGCTTGGCAGCAAAGCTTAAAGTTAGATCCCTGCAGGCTTATAGTGACTCACAGCTTATAGTCAACCAAGTGAATTCTACATGTGAGGTCATCGATTCTACCTTAGCCAAATACTTGGTTGTGGTTTCCAAGCTGAAATGCCAATTTGAGAGATTCCAACTCACCAAAGTCCCGAGAACAGAGAATGAACATGTAGACTTTCTGTCGAAGTTAGCATCTGATAGCTCCAAAGGAGGGAGGTCTGTCTATGTTGAGGTTCTTAACAAACCAAGCATCCAAAAGTTAGAAATGATGAAAGTCAATATTGATCCTGAAACTCCGAGCTAGACAAATCCTATCAAGGCCTACTTCCGAGATGGAACTGTCCCAAATGACGAGCAAGACGAAACAAAGTTGTGGAGAAAAGCATCTCGGTACGCCTTGCTTGATGGAATCTTGTACAAAAAGGTCATACTCGCTCCCTCTTCTTCGTTGCTTAATTCCTTACGAGGCCGAATATGACCTTCGTGAGATGCATGAAGGTATACGTGGTAGCCATATTGGAGCTTGGACTTTAGCTCACAAGGTACTCCGGCAAGGATACTATTGGCCTAACATGCAAGAAGATGCCAAGAAATATGTTCAAAGATGCCAGAAATGCCAATTCTTTGCACACCTAACTCATATGCCAGTAAAAGAACTCACCAACTTAGTTGCACTGTGGCCTTTCGCACAGTGAGGGATTGACCTCCTAGGTCCTTTTATCAAGGGTACAGGGGGAGTAACGCACCTAGTCGTAGCAGTTGATTAATTCATAAAGTGGGTGGAAGCTTGACCTCTTTCTAGTTTGACCTCGAGAAATATTGAACACTTTGTCTTTAGCTCGATTATATGCAGATACGGAATTCCAAATCAAGTTGTTGCCGACAACAGACCTTAGTTCAACTATACCTCTTTCAAAGACTTTTGTTTCAACTATGGGATAAAGTTAGTGTTCACTTTTGTTTATCATCTTGAGGCAAATGGAATGGTTGAATCTATTAATAAAGCAATCTTGGAGGGGATTAAACCAAGGCTAGATCAGGTCAAAGCCAAGTGGGTAGACAAGCTCAGCAATGTTCTATGGGCTTATCGAACTACGAGCCGAATAGCCACAAGTACGCAACTTAGCTAGCTTTTTATTCTCTTTTGATCTAAGGCTATTACTAGTTATGTGAAATAAACCCTAAAATTACAATTTCTCCTAATTAGGCGAAACGCCCTACCACTTGCCTTTTGGGATTGAGGCAGTCATTCTTGTCGAAATGGGCGTCCCAAGCCTAAGAGTGACCCATTTCAACGCAACGCAAAATGAGCAGTTACTTAAAGAAAATCTCAATTTCTTAGGCGAAGTCTGTGAGCAAGCTCGACTTCGGACATTAGCATATAAGCAAAAGCTGGCCAACTCATACAATAGACGAGTTCGACCTCGAACTTTTAGAGTTGGTGACCTCATCCTCAGAAAGGCAGGACTCACCGGCTTCGAAACACGCTTCGGCAAATTGGCGCCGAACTGGGAAGGCCCATATGTAATAGTCGAAATACCACACCCTAGCACTTATATACTTGTAGACGCTAATGGTAAAAGAATTCTTAGGGTTTGGAATGTAAATAACTTGAGGAAGTTTTATCCTTAATGAAACTTCGTTTTATTCAAACTCTTAAGTTCTGAACTTGCAATCACAAATTCACCTCTACCTCAAGTCCAATACAAAGTTATACTTCTAATATCTCATTTTTAAAGGCCAAAAAGTTAAATATTTTTGGTTGGTTGTAATAATTGTTAGTTCGCTACAATCTCAAGGTCAGAAATCATGTTAAGGCTAAAACAATAAACAACATTAATTTTTAAACTTCTAATCCATTAATTCGAAATGAAATACAAAATGTTCTTAAAATAAAATAAAATAACAAAAATACAAAGCAAAGAATGAGCAGGCCGAGCTTTGTCGATGATCTGATGCTGTTGGTCCACTTCCTCATCTCGCACGTTATCAGCCACCTCGATTCCCTGTGGTACCTCGGCCTCTTCTTCGTCGATAGTGATGAACTTGAAATCCAAGGTAGAAGGGAGGATAGTTTTTCTAGCCTCATCCCGTTCCTAAGTTAATTTTACCTCGGGATGGAACTTCGCCGTCTTACTATCCCCATTCTCTTCTATCCTTGCCTCTTCAAGGCCAAACGTGTTGTTGGTCATGTCCACCTCCAGATTCTGGATCTTCACCTTTTTACGGCAATCGGTGAAGGCCATCACCAAAGTCGGCAAATGGTAGAGGTTCACCACCTCGGAAAATGTAGGAGACTTGATGAAGTTCAAAACGTGCTGCTCTACCGAGTTATGGATCGCCAGCTCAGCCATCCTCTTAACCTCGGCCAGCTCGTTGTCCTTCTTCGCAAGTGCCTCCTCGCACTTCTTCCTCTTCTGCTCTTCTAACTCAGCAGCCCTCTTGGAAGAAGCCAACTCCTCTTTGACCTTCTCCAGCTCTGAGGTCAGTTCATTGAAGTTCTTCTCGGCTACCTTTTTTTGATGGTTGAGCTCTTCGTTCTTCCTAACCAAAGCAAGTTGCTCTTGGAGGAAATCGAAGAACTCATCCACCATTGCATTTACCAAGTTTGCAATCTACAAAAAAGGTAGAAGTCAAAAAAAAAAAAAAATGAATGAGTTGAAGTCAATGAAGAGCAAAGCTTACCTCTACGGCTTGCTGAACTACCCCTGATCCCCCATTGGTGGCCACCTCATCCTTGGCCCTTTGCAGATCCACCTCAGGGAAGTGGGAGATGATGAAACATTTTGCAGCTGTCCTCCCAGACTCGTAGAAGCTGGAGACCTGCCTGGGGTAGGGAACATAGCTCTTCCCCCTCCCAAGCACCACAACTTCTACCTCCCGTAACATTGGGTCAATCTACACAGGTAGAGGCCGAGGTACGAACTCAATTGGGGCCTCGATCTGCAAAGGCTTCACCTCCTCCACCCTTTGCCTCTTCTGGGCTGCAACTCTTTCCTCGGTGGATCCCCTCCTTGGCTCCGAGCTAGGCCCCACTTCAGCCCGAGCCCCACCATTGGGGTAAGGTCTTGAAGTCCCACCCCCAACTCGTTCCTTTATGGTACCCGAAGCTGATGCCTTTAACCTCATCTCCGGAAGTTGTATAGCCTTACCTCTAGCTCTCAAACGATTCATTTTCTCTACAAAAAAAAAAAAAAGAGTTAAAAGTTGCAATCAAACTCTTATTTTGAAATGGAATCTCATTTTAGTTAACACAAACCTCCGTTCAATGAGCTTCTCCCATAGATTCTAGACGACTCCACCACCTCTGGACAGTAAGGTACATTATGTTTGCCAGCTCCCCCCCAACCCTCTCCAACCTCTCCACCTCCTCCTTCTCCACCTCCCCCAACCAATACTGATTAGGATTCTTTTTCTTTCCCTTCCACCTACTGAGCTCCTTCACTTCTCCATCTCTCCTCCCTCACTCCGTATCATCAACAAAGAAAAACTTTTCTTTCCACCCCTTAATGGAGGAAAGACCTGCCATAAATAAATTCCTACTCCTACTCTTACCTCTAACTACCAGAGGCGTGAAATAGAACCACCCTCTCTCCTTCCCACTACCCCCCTTAATTATAAAAAGATACTTAAATAAATCTACAGTGGGGATAAATACACCTCGAAGTTGGTAGTAGACCAAAAACCCCACCACCAGCCAAACTCCGTTTAGGACGAGCTGCATCAACCCTAACCCAAACTCCTTCAGCAGTGCTACCAGCAACTCTAGAGTGGGAAATCGGAGCCCAACCGCTAGGTAGTGCACATATAGCAGCATCCAATGATCCTTTGGAGTCAAATATGCCCGTTCCTCACTTTCAGCTGGCCTCACCAGCACATGAGGAGGGATGTTGTAATTCTCCACTAAGTGCCCCAACTCCTCCCTACTCCTCCAACACGATTTATATCCTATAACCTCCCCCACCACCTCCTCCCTCTCGTCATAACACCTTGCTTGGCCATCACCAACTTCTAAAATGTTAGTTGGAACAATGCTATCCTCTTGACCCCCATTACTCCCACTAATAGAGGTCCCACTCCCACTTCCCCCACTAGAGCTTGAGCTCAAACTCAAGCTCTTCACCTCCTCTTCCCCTCCAACATTTAACATTTCTTCGGGAGACATCTTTGGTATCACAATCTTCACTACAAGGAGTACGTGATGAATAGTAACCATAATCACCTACAATTTCTATCCTTTATTACCCCCCTTCCTATTGAACATCTAACTCCCCCGACTGGACTTTTTTCTAAAATAAATCAAATTACTTAAGTCAGAGATAGAGCTCAGAGTTACCTGGTTTCTAGATGGCCGAAGTGAAGCACTTGTGCAAATGCTCTAGCAACTATTAAGTTCCAACTTAAACTTCAATCTCTGCAATAGTCAGCTCGGAGGATGAAGTGCTCTGGTGTGATTTTGGCAGGGCTCTGCTACAAATTCAGTAAGGTAAAATTATGAATAACTCAAGGCCGCCTATTTATACTCAACCTTCCCCCCATTTTAACAGTCATGATCGCTCATGTTTAATGGCCACGATCGCGTCCTTTCGAATTCGATAGTCATTCCTGATGACATTTGTTACAGCATGGCACGCAAGGACAATTGTCACCCCAAATTAAATTATTTCATTATATTCTATTTTCTTTTCGTTCCTATTTCAAGCTCCTTTGAATAAATTACACGTTAGTTATTTCTTGAAAACTGATATTCACTCATGCTACTTTTACTTTGGCTTCGACCGTACCCCATGACAACGTGTCATGCTACTTTCACTTCGGCTCTGACCGCACCTATGACCACATGTCATGCTACTTTTATGTCGACTCTAGCCGTACCCCATTACCATGTGTCATGCTACTTTCAGTTTGGCTCCGGCCATGCACCATGACCTTGTGTCACTCCATTCCCACTTCGGCCTCATCCGTATGTTACATGACTTTGAATCATGTTTACATTTTAACCTCCACTCTTTGGCTCTTGACCCCATGCCATGATATCCTCCCCTCGACTTGACCCCAACACAAACTCCCATATCATTCACAAGTGAATGACTTCGTGGGGGGGAATAATGTAGTGGTGGTAGGCAGAGGTCATGAGGTATTAGAGGTATGCTAATAGGCAGAGGTCATGAGGTATTAGAGGTATGCTTGTAGTCAGAGGTCATGAGGTATCAGAGGTATGTTGGTAGTCAGAGGTCACATACCTCATATCAGTCCAAGGTACATACCTTGGACAGTCATAACTATTCCTAACAATCTAGTTACCTTGACTTGATTGAAGAGCGATGAGCTCGGTCGAATTCGAGCTCGTCCCCTCTGCTCATACTCCACAGTAGCTCTGTACGCACACAAATTCCTCATGAGAGATACCTGCGATGGTTGACATGCATTACCCTAGTTTCTCGGAAGGATCAACACGTGGACACCTCCTTGAAGGCCTATAAATACCCTAAGGGTCTACCTCAGAAAGGTACTTGAAACCGACCTCTAACTTAGGTCTTGCTCTTGCTTCATAGTTGGTAGCTCTAATTATTGCTAACTTAGGCATTGGAGTGTCTACCCCGATGATCAACCTCGGGGCCTTGCAGGATAACCGAAGTGAAGATCCGAGTTTCGGAATATCTCCCAGTTCTCTGCAACTAGACCTTTGACATTAGAATGATGTTCTTTGAATGCTGTGTAAGCACCTTTCTTACTCCAACAAGATCTAATCCTTTTTAGATAAAAAACAAGGCGATTATGTCAATCTTGTTGGGGACTCCCCACTACAAGATATCCTCCTTGTCTTTCCCGCCAAGGTTGGAAGATCCACAACCATTCCGGGAGATTGACATTCTTCCTTTCACCCAAAAGAGCAGAATTCTCACACCAACAACGGACAACACTGGATTCCTTGTCACAGGCCAAGACAATGAGACTAATTGTGCCATCAAAACAGAGAATAACACTTCCTGAGTTCAAATCTTGGGCCAGCTTTTTGTAGCTCATGGAAATCAGAGCCTCATCTCCTTTATGCTGTAATCAGTGGTGATGGTGAGTTCTTGACCCTGATTAAGTTGAATTGGCTTCCCTTCCTTCAAAAATCCAGTTCTAATCTCTAGTCCCTTAAATATTTTATAAAAAAATCAAAATTAAAATTGCAACACTACATTTATATATTCGTATCCATAAAACTAATGAGAAAAAGTCAAAAAAAAAAAAATGAAGTAACAAACAAGAAACTTCAAGAACAATCATAAAGAAAAGTGCTAAGTGAAAATTGAAAAAGGAAAATTCTCCCACTGAATAAAATTAAGGAAAGTTAAAACAAAAAGAAAATTGATTGAACAAAAAGGATTACGTACCTTGTATCAAGCATGACAGCATAGAGAATGACAGTATTGGCCATGGTAGTCTTGAGATTATCTAGGGTTTCTTGGTGGTATTCACGGAAGCCATAAGAGAAGTTGAAGTGAGCAATGTTCGTGCCCGCCTTTAGAAGCTTCTCTATCATCTCAATGGACTTAGAAACCAACCCCAGAGTGCACACGATCTTCGTCTTTGGCCGCATCATCCTATCTTCGGCTGCAAGAATCTTCTCCATTGTTGAAATGAGTAGATAAGTAGAGGAACAGAGAATCGAAGCAAAGAAGCCCAAAGGGTGTCTTTGGCTTGGGTATGTAGGGTTTTAGTAAGGCTTTGTTTGTGGAGAGGTTTACATTAATTGTTGTGTATATATAGGTTTCAACTTTTGATTAATTAGTTGCCATAAAGGATTAATTAGGAATATTCTTCTGGCTTACCTTTCCTTGGGCTAATGGAAATATTTTTAATTTTTTAATTCCTTCACTTTTACATATAAGGTTTCTTGGATACCAAACAACATTATTGAGGAACATGCACACTGTAGAGCTCACTATAATTTCGAAAATCTTAAATATCTAAACACTCAAAATATCAATAAAAACCTACTTTTAGCCACTCACCTTGTCAAGTTTAAAGGTTTTAACCTCTCACCTTATAATATGACATTTTTAACCTCTCATTTTACTAGATTTGTAGGTTTTAGCCTCTCACCTTATACTATGACACTTTTAGCCCCTCACCTATTAAAATTGAAGAAAATAACTCTCACTTTGTAACATTTTGTTAGTTTTGTTAGCTGACTGTTAACTCTATTAGCTGATTGTTAACTGTATTAGCTGACTGTTAGTTGATTGTTAATTATCAAAAACCTTTTTTTAATTAACAGAGTTAACAGAACCAATTGTATAATATTTCATTAATTCTGTTAATTGGCTATTAGTTGACTATTAGTTGATGAAAATTTACTTTCAGCTAACAGAGTTAACAATCAATATAAAGTAAAGGCTATTTTCTTCGATTTTAATAGATGAGGGGTTAAAACCTACAAATCTAGTAAGGTTAGAGGTTAAAAGTATCATAGTATAGGTGATGGGCTAAAACCTACAAATCTAGTAAGGTTAAAGGTTAAAGGTTAAAAGTGTCATAGTATAAAGTAAGGGATTAAAACCTTCAAAATTGATAAGGTGAGGGGCTCAAAATAGGTTTTTGCCCAAAATATCATTGTGTCATACTAACCAATAAAATGATCTTGATACTTCATTTATCAACTATTAAACACTAGAAAAAAAAAAAAAAAGAAGAAGTGTTATTAGAATATGTAAAATATAAATTAATTAATAAAAGAGAAATAGAATGATACATTAAAATATGAAAATAATTACTAGAAGAAATGAATAGATAAAGCCAAGTGCAATTGTAATGCAATGCAACCAATTTATACTAGTGTAAGGGATAAATTATCCATGCAAAGTATATTGATAATTTCTTAAGTTGAAAGTTAAGTTGTCGGTGAAAGTTTTCAAATAAAAACTAGTATTTTTAACATGTTAACGTTTCTCAGTTTTACCAACGTCGTATACGTTAACAACATAATAATAACTCAAAATTAGGTAGGGATGTTTAGGAATAAAATTTCAATGTATACCACGTTGGTGTTTGTTGTATCACCACTAGAGGATATGCTTTCAGCAATGCACATCTACCTTGCTGAAAGTCTGTTCAATATGAGTAAAAATACTACAGCGGTCAGTCATGTTGTCGAGGATCACATGGCCAAAGGCTCCCTTTGTAAAATAAATAGCAACGTGGCCCAGTACACATTGGTGAATATTTAACTTTCACCCATGTAGTATTCAATGCTAATTAATGGTTACTAGAGCATTGGCAAACTAAAGCCAAAGGGGCCATGGCCCCCCTAAGCTAAAAAAAGGGTATATATTTATATATAATATGATTTTTATTTATGAAAATATAATAAAATAGCTACTATTAAGGTAAAAAAGATAGTTAAAATCTTTTTTTCGGCACTAAAGAAAAAGAAAAAGTAACATAATAGTTAAAGGATTCGACTGGGATTATACCTTCGGTGTTTCTTTACGTATGACTGCGGTACTCTAAAAAATTTAGGTGCTTGGTAAATTTTGTAGGTCTTGCTTTGTCAAAAAGTCAGAGGAAAGCTACAGCAACATTATACATAAAATAGAAAGCTTTATTTTGAAGTTTTCTAATTATGATTTAGTATTACAAAATTTTATTCAATTCCAAATTTACCCATCTATTAATTTAATCTTAGTATATTATAAAGAAAGTTAAAATCCACATGAAACTTAGAAGTGTAATATTCAATTCAAATAATACATTACCCAACTTTAATTCAACTTCTAAATTTTAATTCAAATATATATAATGCTATTCTATGCATTAAATATAATATGTATTTTTATATATAATATAATATATAATATTATATTTTATTATTCTATTTATTTCCTATCATTCTTTTCAAAATGTTATCATATGTATTGATTAGGATATCTATTTATATAAAATATAATAAAAATTAAAAACAGTAATATAAGTGAAGAGGCAAGGCCATCTATATATAATATATAATATTATATTTTATTTATTTTATTTATTTCTTATATTTTTTTCAAAAAGCTACCCTATGTATTGATTAGGATATCTATTTACATAAAATATAATAAAACTTAAAACCATAATATAGTTGAAGAGGCAAGGCCATCTAAATAGTATAAGAGAAAACAAATACTAAATCATGGCTAATTATATAATTTCTCAACGGTAGCTGAAGTTAATTTAGATGAAAAGCATATTAATTAGTAATATTCAAAAGATCACTTCTTCTTTTAGTAGATGAAGAGGCAAGCCATTTCTTTCTTCTTCTTTTTTTTTTTTTGCAACATGTTAATTAGTAATATTTAAAAGATCAGTTCATCTTTTGGTAGATGAAGAGATAATGTCATCTAAATATTCAAAAACAAAAAAAAATTATCTAACAAAAAAAAAATGAAGAGTCAAGTATCGACTATTTAAACTCCTTGAGTTTATTTTTTTGAAACTTTCAATTGTTGTAAGTGAGAAAGTTTTTTCATTGTTATTTTATTTTAAAGATTTTTCTAAATCCAAAATTTAGTAACAAGGTATGGTTGCTTGGATTTCCATTTCTCAATATGAATAGGTATAAAAAGTATTTGTTGAGATGCGGTATGATCAAATATAAAACTGAATTAGGGAGAATTATGCACATAGGATAAATCCCTCTTTTTTTTTAATGATAAGTGGATAATTTTTTGCACAAATTCTATTTATTTTTTTTACATGTCACTAAATAAATAGATTCATATAATTTATAAGCTTAGTAAAGTAAAAAGAGTTTATTATTAAATTATATACAAGATTGTATAAAAAAATTTATTAAGAATTTGTAAATCAATCATTTTTTATACTTTTTTATAATGTTTATAGTAGAATTTTTTTTTTCTTTTGAAGGATGAAAATTCTTTGGGGGTAGGATGTTGTTACTTTGGTATTTTAATTAAAAAAATACTATATTTTATAAGTAGAATTTGTTGTCCCTGAACTTGGTTAAACTAGTTATTATGGGTTTGACAATATTATAGTTACAACATCAAGTAAGATTGTGAACTTATAATCATAACATGATATTAAATGAATATAATGCGGTATTAAATGAATAGATTGATATAATATCATAAGTAGACTTCTAAATAATCAAAGCCAATTATATAACTGTTGGTTCAATGCACTCTAAGAGAGGGGTAAATTGGAGTTTCAAAAACTTCTTCCTCTTTGCAACCACAAAGTTAAAAATCAAAAGAGAGTAGAGAAGAGAAGCTTGTAAAAAGATTTTATAGAGGTTTGGTTTAATCACTTAGAATCTAGTTCTCTACCTTATTTTCACTCACCAAAGATTTCCTCCACACTCTCCATTAACAAAAACAAAGGTGGCTTAAAGGAGCCACTCAATCCCTTTATAAAAAGATGAGTTTTCTACAAATCTCACCCCTTTACAAGACAAACCTAAAAATTCTCACTACAAATCACTCTTGAAGAAATAATCACACCCCTAAGATAACTCTCAAAGAAAACAAGTAGAGTTACAAGTAAAAATCATTCAATGATCAAAATCTCAAGTTAAAGCACAAGAATTACAAATTGGTATATGAAGGATATACGATGGAAATTGTCTCAAGACTTGTTTCAAGACTTCTATCAATCATTTTAATTTTATACTCCCTTTAATAAAAAATAGCCATTTTTAACTATTAACGTTCATTTAATGTTCTACAGGTCAGTTTAAGTTTGAGAAAACATGCTACAGACTTTTTCAGTAGAGTCAACTATACCTTTGTAATATCCCAAAATTTTTTAAGACCTTAAAATTTAAGTTAGAGACTTATGTGGTAGAAATTATTTTTGTTGGATTTGATAGCTAAAATTCACCAAGCTAAGGGGGTTAAAAGTAAAATTTGAGGATGAAAAGGGCTAAGCTGATTTCCTCTTTCTCTCATTGCCTTTTCATCGTGGTTTCCGCTCAGCCTTCAGCAAAAATTTTGCTCAACAAGCCCTAGCCGATGCCGTCTCTATCCCGGTAGAATAAGGTGAGATTTAACATTTTTCTTCCTTCTCCTAGCAATGGTTAGAGATTTATGAGTTTATGATTCTTAAAATCATGATAAATACCCAAATCTTGCTGGTATCCTTCCATTTTCTAGTCCATGTCGGGTGTGAGGAAAGACTACCATTTTTCCAGCACTTCTTGTAAGAACTATGACATATTGCTCACCTTTTCTTTTTTAGTTTGAAGTGGGTTATCTTTAATCATTTAGGGTTTTCAATTTTGGGAGTGTTTTTATAGTTTCCTCCTTGATTTTGCCCATAATCTAGCTTTATTAGCTATGATCCCTCTTTTTACTGCAAATTTGGACTGCATAACCTTGCAGTGGTTTTTTTCCCATAACTCTTTCTATAGTTATCGGATTGAGTCCATTTTTTTTCTATAGAAAGCTAAGAGATAGCCCTACAACTTTTCTGTTGTATGTTTAACTCAGTTCAGCTTTTTTCAAGGTGAAAACTCTGCTGCAAGTTCTGTCTCTACAGGCGGACTGCACTGACAGCCCGACCTTCCGTTAGTATTTTGGCCATAACACTCTCTATAGATGTTGGATTAAGGTAATTCTTAAGGCTATAGAACATTAAGACATAGGGCTATAACTTATTTGTTGACCACTCACCCCAAATTGGTCAATTTCTGGGCATGAATTCTGTTGGAAATTCCAGTTCGAAATCTATCCAGAACTTAATAGAAATTTACTTTGTTTTCTGCTTTATTCCCACTGTATCTACTACCATATTGCATCATGATTTTTTTGGCTTTTTAGCTGTTGTTTTCATACTCTAAAACCCTTTGTTATTGCTTTACTTTAGCTACCTTTTTTGCTGCTTAAATGCTGTCCATTTTTGCCCAGTTCCAGCTTTTGCTCTACCCTGTTTTTGTTGCTGTCTCTTTGCCCAGAAAATTCCTATTGTTCAAGGCTTTTTCTATGCTTTTGGGGATTGTTTTAAATAGTAAAAATCCCCACCTTACTGCCCAACTTTTTTGCTGCTGTTTTGGGGTAGATTTGAGCTTGGTTTCTCATATTTTCCGTTGTGTTTTGCCTAGCAAAATCTGCTTGATAAACCCTCAATATGTTGGGTCTCTTGGAGCTCTTTTAAGCATATTTATGTATGATTATGCATATGAATAAATATATGTTAGTAAGGTTTCAAAAGGTAGAGGTGATCAAGAGGTGTAGGAGGAAATTGTTCCTCGGGTTAGAAACTTGATTCTGTAATTAGAAATCAAATTAGTTACATGTAGTATATTGTGATCTTGTCTATTTATTGATGTGGTATAGGTTTGAAATCATCTCAACAGCCTCAAGTTTTTGAATTTCGTGCTTCTTGTATACCTACCAGGCAAGGTAAGTAAAACTATGGTAAATGCCCTTGGATTTTAAGGTAAATGTGTTAAAAGCATAATTTTGAACTATTTTTGAAGTCGTGGTGAGAGTAAACCCGTTTTACACAAAAACGAGCATGATTGGTTTAAAATGAAATTGTTATCATTTATTGATTTGAGCATGCCTACTTGAAGTTTATTGAATTGTTCTGATAACCTAAAATTCGTTTGTAAATTATGGATTTTCTTGCAACTCCTACATGATTTTGTCTCCAATATGGTCATGATTACTGATGCCCGCTAGTGGGAGTTTGCAAATGCTAGCACATGTCGACATGTATGCTTGTAGAACCGGTTCATCCTATAATCCTACCAGTGGGATAATACATTGGTTACTACTGTGCCTGCCAGTGGGAGGTTTATAAACGCTGGCCATGACATATAGAGGAGACGCCTATTTTGTTCCTGTACTTGTACCATTTTTTTTCCTTGATACTTGATTACACTTGTTGGCATGCTTTATACAGTAAATAAAGGCTACCCATATTTTACTTACTAAGTTGTCTCACTAGTTTTTCCTTGTTCATCATTTCAGGTAGTGAGGATTGAAACGTGGGAAACCAAAGGGAGTGACGAGCTAAAAGGCTAGTTACTAGTATTTTGGGCATAGAGTTTTTTGAAATATAGATCATTCTTTTGTAAGACAGATTTTACTTTGAGATTTTATGGTATTAGAGTAGATTTTGTGGTATAAATAAGTTCTGAGCCTTGTGCATTTGTGGGATCCTCTCGCAAGTGTATTGTGTCTGTTTTACTTCTAGTTTTGGGGCATGACAACCTTTAAAGCTATCTATGCATAGTTGGCTATCATAACCAAACCTGACTATTCTGCTCCATTTGCACTTTCTATTTTTCTATTGAGCTAGTTGTAAAACATAAAGTTGACTTGGGAAACTTGAGTTCAAAAGATTAAAAAATCTTTGAAAATTTTTATCATTGAGCATTAAATGTGCCATCATAGCCAGCTGCAAAGTTATAGTCAACTTTGCATCTATATTTTGCGCACACGTTAAACTGCAGGCTTGAACTTTTCACTCATAAAGCAAGTTGCAGCTTTTGTAGTTGGCTTTCTGCATTTTTCTTCACTAGAGCTGACTGTAGAGTTGTAAAGTAGGCTCTTTGCACTTCATCACGTTTTCTACATTTCTCCAAAAGCGACTGTAAAAATCATAGCCAGCTCTTTGCACCAATTTCAGAATTTTGGTTTTTTTTTTTTTTTTTTCAAGTGTAGTTCAAGTTCATTCACTCTTGCCAGCTTCTAGGTCATAAACTACACACCTAGATAAATAAATTAGTAATTCAAGTATATTTTGTAATCATCAAAATCATATTACAACAACAATAATGACACATTATGTTGTAAGTTTATAATGCAATGTGGCATTTTTGTTGTGGGTTAATTGTACTACTTAAGGACATATTATTTTTTTAATAACTAACCTATATATAGATGGATGTTAGACTAAGAGTTCTCTAGAACATGTTACATCGCCCAATTGGTAACTTATTCCATATTTTTCTATTTTCATACACTACATTTTCTAATTGTTCTTCGGTAAAGAAAGATGTTTTGAGTTATATGACTTTATGAGTGGTATAGATCCATATAGTATTGTTGTAGAGTTATGGTATTGTAATATCCTAAATTTTTCTAAGACCTTAGAATTTAAGTTAGGGATTTATGTGGGAGAAACTATCTTCTGCAGGGCCTAATGGTCACAAATTTCAAACTTAAGGGGGGTGGAGTTTAAAAAAAAGGGGGGGTGCGGGTTTCAGGAGTATAAACTCCCGATTTCCCCTATTCTTCTTTTCTTCTTCTTGTTTTGAAACCCTAACCCATCCCCCACAATCCCTCATCCTTCACCAACTCTCATCACCAATCCTGCTCCTCCAAACCCTCTCACCCACATCTCATAAATCCCCTAAGTAGCAGCTCATTGTTCCCCACTCCACCACAGTCGCGTGTCGCCTTCGGCAGCCCTGGTTTCCCTTTTTGACAAGCAGACGCTAGCCCCCCCTCAAGTTCCTGTTGTCTTTGCCTTTTGGGTTTCCATTTTAGGAGGAACTGTCTCTCTCTCTCTCTCTAAATTTTCTGGTAAGATGTGAGCATGAAACCAATCTTGTTCTTTCTCTAATTTTTGGTAGATTTAGTTGAATATTGACCATTTTAGATTTGGGGAAAATGCATAGGATGTACGGGGTATTCCACACCTTATCTTCTTGAAAGATTGTGACAGTGTTTGTCTAGTGTTTTGCTGCTTGAATCTTGGCTGCATTGCTGCTGCATTTTTCTTGAATCTTTGTTGTTTTTTTTCTGCACTGTTTTAGCTTAGAGAATTTTGCATTTTCCTGCACCTTCCCTTGTTGTTTATACACTGTTTTAAACCAAAAAATTTTGCATTTTTTTGCATTTTCCTTGCTGTTTTCTGCCCTGCTTAACCCAGAAAATCCTGCTGTTTTTGCCATAAAATTCTGCTGTTCACCCAGAAAATTCTACTATTTTGCTTCTGTTTTTGTTGTTGTTTTGACTATAAGAATTATGCTGTTCTTGTCAAAAATTTCTACTGTTTTAAACCATAAATAGCTGCTGTTTTGCCCATAAATGCTGTTGTTGCGTGTGACAATGAGAGTTGTTTTAAGCATACTCTAAGTGTGGTTAAACATATTTATATGTTAATAAGATTTCAAAGGGGTAGAAATAGTAAGGGTGTGTAGGAAGAAATTGCTACCTTGGATAGAAACTTGATTTTGGGATTAGAAGCCAATTTAACTAAATGGGGTACATTGTAATCTTGTTTGTTCTTTAATGTGGCATAGGTTCTAAGTCACCACCATCTCCTTGAAACCTTGAATACTTGCTGTTGTAAGCCTACAAGAAGAGGTAAGTAAAAGTATGGTAATGCCTTTGGATTTGAGGTAAAGGTTTTTGAAAACATATTTCCAATGGTTTTCGAAAACATATTTCCAATGGTTTTTGAAATGGTGGCGGGACTAAACTCATTTTATACAAACACGAGTATAATTGGTTTGAATTGAAATAATTATCATTTTCATTAAGCATGTCTACTTGGAATTTACTCGATTGCCCTGATGATCTGGAAATTATTTGTAAATTATGGTTTTTCCTGTTAAATCTTGTCTGGTTTTGTCTTCAATATGGTCATGTTTTACTGTACCCGCTAGTGGGAGGTTTATAAACGCTAGCATATGTCGACATGTATTTCTAGGAACTGGTTCATTTTGTATTCCTACCAGTGGGATAATACACTGGTTACTACTGTGCTCGCCAGTGGGAGGTTTATAAACATTAGCTATGACCTATAGAGGAGACGTCTATTAATTCTTGTACTTGTACTATTTTTTTTTTTTTTTTGATACTTGGTTACACTTATTGGCATGCTATAACTTTAATTAAGGGCAATCCATATTTTTACTTATTGAGTTATCTCAGATAGTCTTTCCTCGTCCACCATTTCAGGTACTAAAACCAAAGACGTGAGAAAACTGAGGGGAGTGACGAGCTAGAAGGCTAGCCATTTGTGTTTCAGGCTTAGATTATCTTGGAGTTAGACTAACCACATATATTTGGACTTAGCTTATTTTGTAATTAGGTTTGCAAAATAAATTTTTTTTTTTAGATTTTTGCAAAATTGTTGCATGGATTGTAGTTATGAATTTAATAAGTTCCGAACCTTGTGCATTTATGGGATTCTCTCACAAGTGTACGGCGTCTGTTTTGCCCTTGGATTTGGGTTCTGGGGCGTGACAGGTATCTTGGAGTAACATGCTATATATATATATTTTATTTTTTTTTCTATTACTTTGATATATCTACTTTATGCAGAGGAGTGAATTACCTGAAATAAGCTTTTGACATCTATTTGATGTTATTTTTTTTATTGATATGTACTCAATAAATTTACTAATTATTATTTTTATTGATTTTATAATCAACCCACAACAATAACGTATATCCTTTGTAAGGCTTGTTTCAAGAAAGGTGAATTGTATTTATTAATTAGATTAGTAGACAAAAATATAGAGTTTTTTGCATTATGTATTACAAAATGCGTTATTGAATTCATTTTACACCAAAATGTCTTTTGCTTTGAGATAATTTTGAATTTTTATAGCCCAAACTATACTTCTTGTGTAGTCTAGTTTTAAAAAATGGGATCTCGTATATTGTAAATTGGGGTTTCAAAACTTTTTCAAATGATTAAAATTTGAAACTATTTTGATTTTATAACATTAAATTTTATCATTTTCATTTTATCTTTGTTTTTTCCTAAATTTTTAGTGGTTCATCCCAGGGAATGCAACTTTTTTTAGTGGTAAAAATCCTTATTATTGTAATGAGATTTGAAGCCTTAGTGTTTTATGTTATTGATGTTTAATATTGTAATAAAACAATAATTGTCATTTCTATCATGTTACTTTTTGATCTTCAACTACAAATCATAATATAATAGTTACAATTGAGATTATATTTTTTATTAAGGAATTTTTGTACATTCACAGCCTTTGCATGTCATATTCATTTGCACTTTTATCTTGGAGTTGAGCAACAATAGTAATATTAAATAATAATAGTACTTTCATCTTTAATCTTTAAGTTCACTTAAATCTCTTGCATATCCCCTTATGCATGTTATAAAGATAAATCATATTCAAATTGTTAGTAAATTGTTTTAATTTTTCTTCTTTATCATTATTTTTGAAATAAATGTTGAAATAATAAAATAAATATCATTTATATGTTACATTATTAATTATGTGCCTTTTGATCTTCTATTATTAACTATAATAAATCATAAATAAATTTTTATATATTCACGACTTTTTGTTTTCCATGCTCTGTTATGTTATTTTCGTTTAAAATATTAATATAAGATTTTTTATGTAAAATAAGGGTGTCACGTCATAAAACCCAAATTCGAGGCACGACAGATGTCGTGCATTCATGAGAAGGTCCCACAAATGCACAAGGCTCGAAACTTATCCAATTCACATCTGACAATCCAATATCTGACGATAAAATCTTTAAAATTTACTTTGATATCATAAAATCTCCAAATACACTCTAGTTTACAAGATCATGATTTATTTCTAGAATCTATATTCAATTTACAAAATGGCTAGCCTTCTAACTCGTCACTTCCCGTGGTTTCTCCGTCCTCGGTTTCACTTCCTGAAATGGTCGACAAGAAAAACTATGAGATAAACTCAGTAAGTAAAATATGGATTGCCCTTAATTAAACGTATAGCATGCCAACAAGTATAATCACGAAAAACAAGTACAGTGCAGGAATGAAATAGACGCCTCCTCTATAGGTCACGGCTAGTGTTATAAACCTCCCACTGGTAGGCTACAGTATTTGCTGGTGTGTAATCCCTACTAGCAAGGCAATAGAAACGAACCGGTTCTATCAGTAACATGTCAACATGTGCTAGCGTTTTAACCCCCACTAGCAGGGTTATCAATAACATAACCACATCGAAGACAAAACAGGCAGAAGTTAACAGACAAATCATAATTCACCAATCACTTTCAAATCATCAGGACAATCAATTAAATTTCAAGTAGGCATGCTCAATTTAATGAAAAGCATAAAAATTTCACTTTAAATTAGTCATACTTACTTTTGCATAAAACGGGTTTAGTCCCACCACCATTTCAAAAACAAGTCAAAACATGCTTTTAAAAGTGATACGGGCATTACCATAAATTTACTTACCTCACTCGCATAAAACCAAAGACTCGATCTCAGTGCTAATTGACAGAACGATCAAGAACCTAATCAAATATTTAAGAATTAATACCATACTATCACAAATTCAAGGTGAAATTTCATTAGGATCACCCCTAATCACGATGCTATTTCTATCAATTTCCACATGATCAGATATCTTCAAATTCGTTTTTATATCACAAACTTATCATTTAAATCTCCGTTAATTATTGGCCATTTGTGCGTGAACAGTGCCGTGAACAGTAACTGCACTCCCAAAATTGGCCAAAACACTAGCTAATCTCCCGGGATTTTCTCCAAAAATCTCACAGCAGTCAATTAACACTCAATCACATAAATCCCACTTTAATTAATGCTTAAACTTTATCCTAATGCTACCGGAATTCATCCCCAATTTTCAGCCAAATTCGAACAACAATAGGGCAGCAATTAGATGGCTAATTTTAGCAGCTAAATGGGTAAAACTTGCACTTAGAGAAGCTGCCACATACCATAATTTTCCAGCTGCAGAAACCGAGCTTGGCTGGGGGAGAAGCCGGCGGCAAGTGCAGAAGCAATTCACGGGGCTTGCAAAAATTGAAGGAATCGAGAGCAATTAAGGTAAACCCAAGCCAATTCAAGCAAGAACAAAGGAATTAATGGCTGTTGCTTACCGAAAATTCAAGGAATTTGCACCCACAACTGGCAAGAGCAGCAACCGGACAGAGCAGAGCAGATCCGAATTCTGCAGAGGGGTGGGGGAAATTTCTGGATTCAATTTGTGTTCTAGAGCAAGAAAAGAAGGAGAAATCAAGCTTCCTCACCAATTTTCCAAGTGGGGCTGTCGGCTTGGCTGGGTTCCTTTTTTTTTCTCTTTCGGGTGGCTGCAACGGGGAGGAGATGAGCAAAATGGAAAAACCATAAGTTAAGCCCCTGAACAAACTCCAGAATCGCTATTAAGCCCCTAGACTTTAATTGATGCAGTTAAGCCCTTGAACTCTGGGATCAAAGCAATTAAGCCCTTCTTCTTAAGCGATTTATTTTAAAAATTAAAGTCTAGGGCTTAATAGCGTAAGAAGAAGGGCTTAATTGCTTTGATCCCAGAGTTCAAGGGCTTAACTGCATCAATTAAAGTTTAAGGCTTAATAGCGATTTTGGGGTTAGTTCAGGGGCTTAACTTATGGTTTTGCCGAGCAAAATCGGGCTGAAGAAGAAGAAAGAAGAAAAAAAGGAATAAGCCATCCTTATCCAAATTTTCTTCTTTTAAGTCCCTCAACTTTCAAAATGTTGGCCATCAAGCCCTCAACTTTGAAATTTCGATCATTAAGCCCCAACATAATATTTTTCCAGAATTTAGTCCCTAACTCACTTATTTATTCTAGAAATTTTTGGGGTATCACAAAAGGTGAAAAGAAAAGTCTCAAAAATTTGGCAAACGATAAAAGTAAAGTTAGATTATTTAGGGCATTCAATATTGTACAAATAATTACTATACATTGCAATCCTATGATTTGTTCTTATTCTTCATAAATATTGGGTTTTTATTCTTTTACCTTTGGTTTAATGCATTGTATGTACCTCAAAGTATTAATGATAAATAATAATAATAATAATAATTAAGAGGAAGATAAGAAATTGAAGAAAATAAAAAGTTAAACTAATTATTAATCACATTTATTATGTTTTTAATGTAAAAATAATATATATTTTTTATTTTTTAATTTTATTTTTTAATAATTAAAATAAAATTACAAAATTAGTGTTTAATTAATGCTTAGGTTGCATCTTATTATATTATATATATATATATATATAAATAGATAGATATAGATATATATATGAATAGATAGATACATATAAAATTCTATAATTTCAATCAAATGACAAAATTTAATCCCTAATTATTGCTTTGGGAACACTTTATATGAACTCTTATAATTTTTAATGCTTTAAATTGAAATGGAGGAATATGAACCCTTGTTTCAATAAATAGGACTTTCATTTTTATTTTCCCTTGTTAAGCTAAGCCTTTTTCCTTCCTCAAAATTTTTTTTTATCAAATATGCTTTTAAAATAAAATTATATTAAGATAAAAAATATATATATATACTACCAAGGGATTTCTTCTTCTTTTTGAGTAATTTCTTATAATAAGTGATTTCAAGTATATATGTCAAGATCACTTTTACTTTTTTACTCAGTTCTTGGACAATATGATCAAGACAAAATTGAATTATGTAACTATTATAATAGGCAACATGATATGTGTTTTTATTCTTTGCATGCAATAAACATTTCTTTTAACTAGTATATCTTTAAATTGCTAAGCATTAGAACTCTAAATTATAGTAAGAATAAAACTTTTCTACAAACAAATTTGTTAATAGGAATAATTAAATAGCTAAAAAATCAAATGAAATAATTCATAAAATTACCTTCTAATCAACAAAACCATTTCAATAATCAGATAGTTCTTATCATCTTTCAAACTAAAAACATCTCACAATCTACATATTGCACTTTAATTTTCTAATCTTCTTTATCGAATAAAAGTTGGTCAAGAAATACATATTTCACATCATTTGCAATTGATGTACTCTTAAATATTTTAAAAACTTTAGTAATAAAGTATTTCAAGATAAGATAAAATATGTAACATAATTAGAAAAAAATATAAATTGATGGTAGAATCAAATGCCTATTCACATTAAGAAAAAGTAATCAAAGCACTTATATCTTGCAACCAATTTTTGGATAAAAAATTTTTTGAACAAAACATTTAAATGTTGTTATTAAGAACTGAAAAAAACTTTGAACTCACTTATGATCAGAAGAATGTACGTAAGGAGGATAGGGGAAAGAATGAGTTTAAATATATGGCACTTGAAACTTCATTTTCTTTGACTCTTCAATTTTTGAATATTTAGATATTGACTCTTCGTTTTCTTCATTTAAGAGTTTTTAAACACTTAAACTTTTAGTTTTTTCCTGTTGAACTAACTTTGTCTCTTCATCTACCATATTCATTCATCAATTATTTTTATCATTTACAATTTTTATACATTTGCCTCTTCATCTACCACTTTCATTATCATTTACAATTTTCATTTTTCAAATTTCGAGCACTTTTTTTTTTTTAATTCGTTGAATGCATACCTTATTAAATGTATTGGGTAGCATTTTTGGATAAATATTTTTTTCAAACAAAACATTTAAATGTTGTTATTAAGAATTGAAAAAAACTCTGAACTCACTTACAATCAGAAGAATGTACATAAGGAGGATAAAGGAAAAAAGGAGTTCAAATATGTGGCACTTGACTCTTCATTTCTTTAACTCTTCATTTTTTGAATGTTTAGACGTTGATTCTTCATTTTCTTCGGTCAAGAGTTTTTAAATACTTAGACTTTTGGTTTTTTTCTTGTTGAACTAACTTTGTCTCTTCATCTACCACTTTCATTATCATTTACAATTTTCATTTTTTAAATTTCATGCACTTTTTTTTTAATTAAATGCATAGGGTAGCATTTTATATAATATATAGATAGAAAAAATATAGAAACATAGTACTCATAAATCCATGAGTTTCTATTTATAAGAAAGAATCAAATTCAAATGGTTTCTAATGTATACAATATTTCTTCATTATTGCCAGGGACAGAGCCATGAAATTCAATTAGGGGAGGTAAAAATTATTGTTAAAGATTTGAGTCTTTAAAAGTATTTTTATGACACTAATTCATTTTATTTTAAATTTTCTTTCTCTTGTAAAAAAAATCACTTGTGATCTTTTTTATTAATATATTCTTAACAAAAATTAAAAATAAATATATTTATATTATAATAAAAATCAAAATATCAAATAATAAATTATACAATGATCAATTTAAGAATAAATAAAAGGACATAAATGTATTTGTTAGTCGAATTTCTAAAAATTATGAAAAAAATATTATAAAATTACCTTGTTTCAATAAACTTTGAATCAAAAAGATAAAAACAACATATTCTTAAAGTAGGAATAACAGTATTTTAATTTTATTGAAATAATATAACTTTAAGATAATTTCTTCCTAATCTTTTGGAGATCAAGTTGATAAATACTGATTTATAAAAAAACTAGAATATTTTTTAAGAAAATGAAATTTAACTGAGATTGATCGAACACACAAAAAAAAAAAAAAACCATGATTATAAATTTAACCATGAAAGGGAAAAAGGTACTTTGATGCAAAAATAAAAATTATTACAAAAAATATTAAGAAAGAAAATACAAGCATATTAAAGAAAACTATAAATTTAGAGTTATTTAAATAGAAAAAGAAGTTTTTTTTTTTTTACTTAATAAATGAGAAAATGTTTGTCACGCCCCAGAATCCAAATCCGAGGACGTGGCAGATGGCACACACTTGTGAGAGGATCCCACAAATGCATAAGGCTCAGAACTTATCATGCCACAATCTGATGCCACCAAAATCTGAAGATAAAGTTTTAAAATTTGCCCTGATATCATAAATTTCTAAATAAAGTTCAGCTTACAAGATCATAATTTATATCTAAATCTATACTCAATTTACAAGATGGTTAGCCTTTTAACTCGTCACTCCCCTCATTTTTCCTTATCCTTGACTTCGCTTCCTGAAATGGTAGACAAGGAAAAACTATGAGATAACTCAGTAAGTAAATATGGATAGCCCTTAATTAAACTTATAGCATGCCAACAAGTATAATCACGAAAAACAAATACAGTATGGGAACGAAATAGACGTCTCCTCTATAGGTCATGGCCAGTGTTATAAACCTTCTACTGACAGGCACACGATTTACTAGTGTATAATCCCACTAGTAGGATAACAGAAACGAACCGGTTCTATCAATAACATGTCAACATGTGCTAGCGTTTATAAACCTCCCACTAGCGGGCACACGAATAACATGACCATATTGGAGACAAAACAAGCAAAATTTAACAGAAAATCATACTTTACAGATACTTTCCATATCATCAAGGCAGTTAAATAAACTCCAAGAAGGCATGCTCAAATCAATAAAAAAAAAAAATTTTTTATTTCAAATCAATCATGCTCATTTTTGTATAAAACGGGTTTAGTTCCGTCACCACTTCAAAAACAAGTTAAAATATACTTTTAAAATCGAAAGGCATTACCATAATTTACTTACCTCACATCGCACCGAACCGAAGACTCAATCCAGTGTTCTAAGCCATAATAGCACCTAATATTCCAAATAAATACATTTAGACCTTACTATAATTATTAGCACAACCTCACAAATTTACTAACCAATGAGCTTCACACGAAATTCAATCATATGACCAAACATCTCAATTTTATTCTCAATATAACTAAACATTTAAACCCTCTTATTATTGGCCATTAGTGCCCATGAACAGTGCCCGTAAACATTGCTCGTGAATAGTAATCACATAATGAACAGTAACTGCAACTTCAAAAAATTGGCAAAATCATAGCTAGTCTCACGGGATTTTTCTCCAAGATCTCACAGCAGTCAATTAACACTCAATCACATAAATTTCACTTGAACTAATGCTTAAATTTGTCCTAAAGCTACCGGAAT